ACTTCTGGATACCGATCGCTCTGGACACAAACAACATCACAGCACTCAGTCCTTTCCTGGTTCCTCAGGACCACTTGGGGAGCTTGGGCATTTTCTACTCTATGGCAGGATTCATGTTATTTGTATTCGTGGTTGGCACTGGCATTAACATCCTCACCACTGCATGCACTATTCAATACAAGAAACTCCGGTCCCACCTAAACTACATCCTGGTGAATTTGGCCGTGGCAAACCTCCCTGCGTGGGTTCCTTCACTGCCTGCTGCTCCTTCACGTCCAGATATTTCATCTTTGAACCACTTGCATGCAAGATTGAAGGTTTCATGGCTACACTTGGTGGTAAGACTTATCTGTAGTTTTGAAATGATAAACTAATTCCACCTGAACATGCCTTTCAATCAGTGGAAATAATGATTTTAAAAAGGTTTTTAATTGTCTGCCTCTGTCATTCCAGGTATGGTAAGCCTGTGGTCTCTAGCTGTGATAGCCTTTGAAAGATGGCTGGTCATCTGCAAGCCACTTGGTAACTTTATTTTCAAGCCCGACCATGCCTATGGGATGTTCCTTTTCGGCTTCTGCTTCACTGTTCCCTTCTCCACCATTATCTTCTGCTACTCCCAGCTCCTCATTACACTGAAATTGGTGAGGCAAACAAATCCACAAAAAACTACCTAAAATAAAACACCATAAAGCTCAAATGTTGTTACTGTCTTTTAATGAAAAGGATTTTAAAAATACAGAATGTTTAAATGTCCTGTCAGGATTGAGTAACATTTATAAGGCACAAGACACAATCCTTGTGATGCTGTACCATCAATAAAGACAGGCATGGTTCAGATTCTCAAAATACAAACTGAACTAATGCATCAGAAAATAGTTGTATATGGGCAGCCACTGCAATCACCACCAATACACTGGCTCTTAGTAACATCTAACAAATCTTTCACTCAACTCATGTCATGAGACTCAAATCACTTCTCTCACTCAACAGGCAGAAAAGGCCCAATCTGAGTCTGCCTCCACCCAGAATGGAAGAGGATTAGGGCCAAATGTGAAAATGTATTTGAGTTTAAATTAAAAAAAGTTAGACTTTCTGACTTTGAGTCAAACAACTTAAAGTCAGAACTCAGAATGCTGAGTTTAAAGTGAGACTTCTGAGAAAAAAGTTATAATTTTGACTTGAATAAAAAAGAAAATTCAGATTTCTACCTTGTGTACTTTAAACTCAAAACTCAGATAAAATTTTCACATTTGGCTACACCTAGTGGCTTTAATGGTACATTCAGCTTTTTTTTTTAAATCTCAGCTCTATGCAGGATGATAAAGATAAATGTGGTTGAGTGCTCTACAGAATCAGTGTAAATTTTGATTCCTTCAACAATCGTTTTTTTTCCCTTTCAGTTCCGTTCATGCATTATGGGGATGATGGGGATGGGTGGAGGTGAGGAGTAATCCTCAACAACACGGTCAACAACTGAAGTCTCCAAAGTTGGGCCTGCTTAGACTGAACATCAACACTTGCTGACCACTAATGATTGTGAATTGTAAATAACAATAAATGTGCATGTGTTTTGTCATATGAAAAAAACTTTATGGTATGCAATCTTGCAACTCAAGTAAGAAATCATAAATAATAAGTCAAAAATAAAAAATAAATACAAACATGAATATGCTGTCTGATACTGCTTAACAACAAATTCCCTGGTCTGGACTATATACAGTTTCCTTATAGGGGTGTCGTGTTATACTGATATTTAAACACACACAAAATTCCATATTGATATCATATTAATAATACACATATGATAATATTCTTGCTTTGTGGTTCACACTCAGTGTAATTGTTCTTTTAATATGGTTACAGACTCTCTTTGCACCTCCCTCGTATTTTAAATGTAATTCATTTGGCCAAAAAGGAACAAAACATAGCATTTTTATGTTCTAATTTTCTTTATATAGTGTAACAATATTGTTCTCATGAATTCTTTTGGCCATGATAATCGTGTAGTGAAAATCTGATATCATGACAGCCCTATTTCCTTAAATGGAAGTGAACAAATTCACTGTGCAACGTTCAAGAGATGATCACACAGGAAGTCGTAAAAGTAAGACATTGTTTCCTGAGAAATTCAAAATTATGCAATGTGATGAAGTTTTTTTTCTTACTGTTTATGTTTAAAAAGCAATCCACTGATTGTAACCAAAATATTAGAAAATCTGGTTTCATGGATCTTTGCAAACACAGTTTCACATTTCATTAAATCAACCAATTTTTTGGATACATCTGTAATAGATAAAATCTCAAAGCTCTCATGTGGCATAAATGTTTCTTTAGATTTTGCTCTGTTGTATTATTTGGTTTCTGGTTTAACTGGCAACCTTGATTTCCTCTTTCTAACCACCATGTCAGGCAGTTTTATACGTATGTCACTTTACTCACACTGTCAAATGTACTAATCTCCTCTTAAAAGATTAGGATTCCTCTAAAAACAAGGGAAGCCATTTCTTTGAAAGTATTTGTTATGTTTCAAGAGACATAACACAAAGCCTGAGGTGAACTTCTACAACCTGGACTACTGAGAGCCAAATGCATGCGACTGACCTCCTGAAGATAAGTAATGATCAGATTATGTGGTTCACAAACACAGGGCTCTTACATTGGGATGTAATAAGATGATCCTTGTCAGCTCTAGTACTGAGATACTAATCTCTATATTACCTCAAAGTTCACGCATGTTGTTATGGGAGTGTGTGATGCGTGTGCACGTACACAAGTACAAGTAAGTCTGGTCTGAACCAAAGCTTTACTGTAAATCCCAATTAAGCCAATTAAGTTAAGCCTGAGTAATATTAAGTAAGTTGCTATAAAAGCGGATGTAAAGCTCTATCAGAGAGAGACAAACCTCGATTAGAAGACAATAACAAGTGCATGTTATTTACAGTTAGAAATCAACTATCTGACGTTTTTGTGGAATAATACCATTTCAGCATCTTTTTGAAAAGTGCTGGAATTTTTTATTTGACACTCAACCAAACAAAAATGAGGGGGAGTCATCCAACAAAGCTTCCAGAAGACTTCTGGATTCCCATCCCTCTCGACACCAACAACATCACCTCCCTCAGCCCGTACCTGGTTCCCCAGGATCACTTAGGGAGCCCAGCAATCTTTTATTCAATGTCAGCCTTTATGTTTTTCCTGTTCGTGGCCGGTACAGGCATTAATGTCCTGACTATTGCATGTACTGTTCAATACAAGAAGCTCCGGTCTCATCTGAACTACATCCTGGTGAACTTGGCTGTGGCAAACCTCCTCGTTGCCTCTGTGGGCTCCTTCACCTGCTTCTACTGCTTTGCCTTCAGATACATGATTCTTGGTCCACTGGGGTGCAAGATTGAAGGATTTTCAGCAACCCTTGGTGGTAAGTAGTGTAATCAATAACATAAATTTTACTATGTATATTATTATATTATTAATATATTATTATAATTTAATATATTATTAATTTATTAGATTACCATGAAAGCAAACCTTTTAAAACTTACAAGATTTATTCTTGCATGTTGTGATTGTACCATTACCATAAAACTGCAAGCTCTCAACTGGGATCCCTGTGCTGATTTTATTGTCAGACAAAACAGCTTTAAATAACATGCTATCACATCATCCAATGAGAAAACAATGTATTATGGACAACTGTGGGGTCCAGCCATCAGCATCATGATATTAAATTGCTAGTTTTCTCTTATGATATTATATAAAATATATTTTTTAGATCTTTACCAAAGAAAAAACACTCAGCATCACTGTCTCATCTTGTACAAACAGCTGCAGTTAGAGTATAATTTATCTTTCGTAACATTTTTGCTATTGGTTTTCTGTTGGCTTAACAACTGAAATAGATATTTTTTCCATCAATCTTAAAGCATCACTGACTCTGCTAAATTGATGACCTTTTAGAGGCTCATGAAGCTGACTATCCCTTTGTCTAAATGTATAACCAAACCAAGGTACTCCATTATGGTTTCAATTTATGTCAAATTTTATGTCAAAAACTGTGCAGTCTTTTCATTTCAATTTGTTCAATGAAAATGTGACAGCAAAATAAATCATTAAAGACAGAAAATAATCTTAGCCAAACACCACAAAAACAACTGCAGCTGGAGTCTGGCAGAGTGGACTGCGAGCTATCCAGAAGGATTTCTAATAATACCTGTAATCTGTTATTTACCATCCTTGCTTTATAATGTTTTAGCTTCTATTACAAATATACTGACTAGAGTTCCCTCACTGATTAGCATTATATTGCACAAGTCTTTTATAGTTTTCAATCTTTTTCCAGGTATGGTAAGCCTGTGGTCTCTGGCTGTGGTAGCGTTAGAGAGATGGCTTGTTGTCTGCAAGCCATTTGGGAACTTTGCCTTCAAGCCAAACCATGCTATAGCTTGCTGTGCAATGACTTGGGTCTTTGGTTTGATGGCTGCAGTTCCTCCTCTGGTTGGATGGAGTAGGTCAGTATATAAAGACCAAACACACAACAGTTTTATTCGTTTTTAATAGTTGATATATAAATCCAATTATTCTCAGGAAAGTCCTTCTGCAACTGTCTGTACAAATATTTCTCTGTCTTGCTCTTGTAAGGATAATTATCCCCTGACCCTAATTCAAAATATACAGACTCACAACCACAGTACAGTACTGATTCAGTGTCTGTCTCTACAGGTATATCCCAGAGGGCCTGCAGTGCTCCTGTGGACCGGACTGGTACACATCTAACAACAAGTTCAACAATGAGTCCTATGTGATGTTCCTCTTCTGCTTCTGCTTTGCTGTTCCTTTCAGTACCATTGTTTTCTGCTACTCACAGCTGCTTTTCATGCTGAAATCGGTAGGCAATGTATCTGCTGGGTTTGGGCAGATAGGAATAACATCCTACCTGATTTCATATATCTGAGTATGTGTGTCCATCAGACTAACACACGTATGTCATTTTCCATGAACAGGCAGCAAAGGCCCAAGCTGAGTCTGCCTCCACCCAGAAGGCAGAGAAGGAGGTGACCAGGATGGTGGTCATCATGGTGCTGGGCTTCCTGGTGTGCTGGATGCCTTACACCACTTTTGCCCTTTGGGTTGTCAACAATCGTCGGCAACCGTTCGACCTAAGACTGGCGACAATACCCTCCTGTCTGTCTAAAGCCTCCACAGTCTACAACCCTGTTATCTACATCTTCCTTAATAAACAGGTTGGTTCATTCACTCTGATTTAAGAGCAACATATTTCCTTTAGAATTTATCACAAGGCCGGTGCTGCCCTCTAATGGTGGCTTTCAAAACATACAATACGGCGTCCTCGGGGGAAATCTTAAATGTAATTAAAACTTTTTAAGTTTTTCATTTTCTTTATTCTTTTTTTATTTGGATTATATGGACAATAGAATCACTGGCATAACTAATGTGCCTATGTTGTTTTTCCCTTCCAGTTCCGGTCATGTCTAAAGACGATGCTGGGGATGAGTGGAGACGATGACGAGTCCTCAGCAAGCCAAGTCACTGAAGTCTCAAAAGTCGGACCTTCTTAGGTTGTTTAAGGGTAATTCTGATGACTTACATATTGTAAATAGTACTGAATGGTCAAATTATATAACAAATGGAATGATACTCTTACAGATAAAGAGTTGAATGCAAAGAAAAATGTAAAAAAAAAAAGATAAATAAAGAAAATGTGTTTTGTGTCTGCTGGTGTGGTCACTCAATCAGTTAGTGGCTTAATGAAGTGCTCAATAAAGCCCTGAAACAGCTAAATTTTCCCCCAGCTCACTGTGGATATTTTGAAACTCCATATGTTTCAGAACATCAGCAGTGAGCTACTGAGCTAAGAAAATATGCAGTAAAATTTATTTTGAAGACAAGTAACAGCATGACATCCAAGGACATGAGGAAAACACAATATACAAAAGATTTTACCATTTCAGAGTGTTAGTATACAAAAGCAATTTTGTAAATGTCCTTTTTCAGGCTACAAACTTTGCACCAGGATTGATGTAGATAAGTGATGAGATCATTAACACACTACGTTGCACCAAGCAAACACTCATAGCAGGTCTTTATCTAACCATCAATTTATATATACTGTATATGGTTAAACAAAATTCCATTATGAGAGTGTGCATCTGCTCCATCTCTCCATCTGGAGTAGTTGCCATTATTTAGCATCTTTAATTCAAATATATAGAAAATATATTGTAGTAGAGTAGTCTAACATTCAGTCTACAGATGGCGCCATACTTCAAAATAAACAAGCCTTATTCACATCAGTTACCATGTGTACATACTGTAACAGTAGAGCTGAGGAAATTACTTAAGAAAACTGCCAAGCGGTGTAGTTTCTCATAATATATAATTTAATTTTTTATATATATGTCATTATTTTGGACTGGTCATCTGTCTGATGGAAACACACAGCCAGTCTGTCAGCCTTTCTTACCTCTAGCAGGTGTGTGGTTCACTAGCTTACTCACCAAGCAGAGACTTTAATGCTTTACAGTGGAGAGTTTAAAGGATTACTTGGCAGACGAATACACACATCTTTGCATACAATGCAAACAAGAATAATTTTCAATTTGGGACCAATTCCCTAAATGACAATAAATACTACAAAAATAAAATGTATCATTATCATAATCAATCACAATTTAAAGGACCAGTATGTAAGACTGAGGGGGATATATTGGCAAAAATGGAATACAATGTTTTCATGAATCTATAATTACCTGTAAATAAGACTCGTTGTTCATTAAGAATGAGCACTTTGCCACTAATTCTTACACACTTGTCCTATAAAGTATAGTTTAAAGTGTTTTTAAATACTTTAACATGATAAGCTTAAGAGGGTTAGCTAAATAGGATTCACCTTGGCATAGATGCTCACACAAGTCCCTGTGCTGGTAAAGATGAGAGGGGTGATCTTAGTCTGAAAAATAGCCGTCAAAACCATGTCACAGAAAATACGTCCTCAGCACTGTACCAGCTGTTACCTGTATGTGCGTCATGGAAAGGGCTTAAAGACACAAATACAATTCATACAATAAATATGAACATATGAAGCTATGCTGAAACAAAAATTGTTACAACAATTGAATATTAAAATTGACCATGTGGTTATATGTTTTCTGTGTGTCATGCTGCTGAGAGAGGATGGAAATCAGTAAAATCAATAGTTGGAAATACCAGTGACACCATTTCCTCTTGGCTTTAGGCCATCATGGGTAATCTGTGTTGCAGGGGAAAGGGGAAACAATAATATTATGGTTATTAAAACATCCTCAACAACAAAGGCAAGCAAATCTAAGACTAGAATTATTACCTGATGTGAAGTGAACACAAGACCATACGAGTAGCAAAGGTGGACTCTGTTCACTTCACACCAGTCATGGTCACTACACATGTAGACAACCTGCTATTCAACTAGTGAGTGTATAAACCACTGGTCCCATGGTCATGGTTGTAATGGAGATTCCTGTCGGTAGTCGGGAGCAAATCCGAGTTCTGCTAGTAGTGAACTTTTACCAAACACGAATAGTTCAGAACTAGCGGAATTCCAGACCTACCCTCGAAACATCACAGCATCACATGGAAATAGGTCTCAAGAGGGGTAAAAAAAAAAACATTAACTAGCATCAACTCCACCTCTTGAATGATATGTAAATTTACATTAAGATACTGAACACAAAATACTCTCCCCTCACACAACTTTACATTTAAAAAAAATCTCTTTGTTTAGCATTAAAGCTATTTAAAGCAAAACTACTATATACTGTGAAAACTTACCTGAATTCAGGTCAAGTTAACTACTATTATGAATAGAGACATTTTGTAAATAAACAAAAATAGAAGTAAAATTTACAGATTTCTTTAGTTGCACGAATCATCATCTTGTTGGTGTGCTGTCCTTGTCCCACATGGATTCAAATCTTCAAGCCAACTACCTGTGCAAGACTTGGAACAGAGAAAAACACAGAATCAACAGATTAAATGAACCACTATAGCAGCTTCCGCTAACCTCTGCTTTCTTCTACAGTGAACCGTCATTCCGGAGGGATTAAGATGTTACGGAGTGAGCACGCCAGAAGTAATCACTCATTGTTAATCTGTTTTATGGAGGAGCCCAAGCTGTCCGTATAATCTGCTTTGGTCTGCTGAGACATTTGAAACCTTCACCTGCATTTCACTGGATCAACCTAGTTTGAGGTTGTTCTAGTTAGAGTTCAACAGAAGAGAGAAACTGTTACCACAACTGCAATGCCTTAAACAAGATAAATTCATATAGTGTCAATTTGATCAGTATTATGTCAATGTTATAGCCGCCTCATACAGAGGCTCTTTACCAGGCAATGCAGGGCATTCTGTTTTGGGCAACCTTATAATGAATGATACAGTGAATAGCAATAGATAATAGATCCACAATGGAGTGTGTGTTAAATGCTTCTCTACACAGTGCTATGCAGCATGTGTCATCCAATAAGTGTCTCTACGTTTTCTCTACCATGGCCACATTGGTTGCATGCCATTTATTGACAGTACATATAGATGCCACTGTACACTTATAGACAGTCTCTCCTCGTAGACATTCATGTGTTGTACACACAAGAAATATGTTTGTAGTAGTTGTATGAACAGAGAGAAAAGAAATCCTACTCTCACATCATTGCATGCATAAGCTGATTAGATCATTAGTATGCCAGCAAATAAATGCCGATAAACCTTTAACTTAATGCTTAATTGAAATGGCCTTTAAATTGTAGTAGACAGCAACTATGAAAGTGTCCGATAGACTGGCTGAGCAGATTAAGAACTAAGCAGCCAATAAAGACAGTAATTAAATATGCAAATGCAAGAGGACACCGAATTATCCTTAATCACTGGGTGCTCTTATCCTCTAAAGTCCCGTATCCTGTTGTGTTGGTGTGGCTGTGGACAATAATATAGGAGTTAACAAACCAGAATTAATAATGGCATTACAGTTTTCATGTTAAGTTTTGCACTCTAAATAGAGGCAACAGAAGTGTGTGTGTATGTGTGCGTGCATTCACATACATGTGAAAGATGAATGTTTGCATGTGTGTGCAATTTACTCTTTCCTACTGTGTGATGTGGTATTCATGCTAATGACTGCAGACAGTAAAGTGTAAATGTTATTGCTGTTTGTGCTATGTGCTATTTCAAATTGAGTCACTGTCTGTCACTGACTTTGAATGTCCCTGTGTTCCAAATACAATATTTTTTTAAATAGATAAAAGAAAAGAAATAAACATTCACTGATACTACCACTGGACCACTTAATGAATCAATCATTCAATCAATCTACAAATCATCATTTAAATTAGATCAATTTCCTAAGTCTGGAAAAGTGTATTCTAAAGTCTGAAGCTACTGAATTATACAATATAAGAATTGGTATAAAAAAGTTTTACCAGGGCAACCTCTGACCTATTTGGCTGAGCGCAAGTTACTTCACCCTGACCCATTTGGATTTAAACCTTATCATTTTAATTAAATAGCAGACTGTGCTCTTTTAGAGGTCATCAGCATTTTATAAGGCCGTGTATACCCTCACTGAGGCCCGGTTTTTTAAGTAGGCTTGAAAATAATAGAGAATGAATACAATTGTGTTTCTGTCTTTTTCCCCATACAAAATGAAAGATTTAACCTAATGGTCTGGGTTTGTGATACAGTTAGCTGTCCAATTCTTTGTGTGGTAGATTGTCCTTTCTGTTTTGTGTGTATTTGTGTGATTAGCACATACATTACTATAGTATGGGATCATGTATTTGTTATTTTAGGTTAGTATGGTTTCGCTAACCTGTTAGTTGAAATAATATGAAGGTGAGGCAGAGGATTTAAGGCCTCAAAATGCTTAAAACAAACTCAGTTCTATGTTGTGTCATCCAACCATTTGAACTATATATTATATAGGATCCATCACTAGATGACTATGACTGCAAAATTATTATATTTTTATAAGGGAAGCCTTGTTTCTGAAATGTTTCCAAGGGGACTTCAGGCAGCAGTTTCTTTCTGAAAAGTGTTTAAGACAAAATCCCCTCAAATCCAATTCTTCTGGTAATTCGCTAGGACCATGTAAGCAAATTAAATAATTAGTGTGCCAGCTGGTTGGTGTCTACTTTGCATAAATGGAGATAAAGTGTTACCGTAATGCATAATTGAAATGGCCATTTTAAATTAGAATTATAAGATTAGTTGAATAAACATGCAACTATGACATTGTCCAAATGACTGCCTGAGCCAATTAAGAAGTCAAAAGAAAGTAATTAAGTATGCAAGAGGACGCCACATTCCTCAATCACTGGGTGCTCTTATCCTCATCTTACCACTTAGCCTATGCTGTTAGGAATACTCAGAACTGAAGAGCTTGGGACAGACACACCTGTCAACTAGCGTCACATTGCCAAAAATCTGTGCACAGTATCCGTAATAAAATGTCACACAGTTAGTAAAATGCCTTCCAACTTAATATTTAAACTGTAATTATCAGGTTAATGACTTTACCAAATCAACAATG